AAAGCAGCACAACCCGACAGAAGACGCTTTTTGCATCTGCATGTGCATGCTTACCCATATACAGCGTCCGCTGGCCTGGGATTTGCTCAACTCATCCAGCTTCTGGCGCTGTGTCGAGCCCGTCACTTGTTGGAGCTTGACAGTGTCCAGCTCCTGGCAAGGCGTGCAGAGGCTTTCACTTGCGTCGGAATCCTGAACCCGCAAAACATTGCTCTGGGTGCAAGCGGCTCTGATTCCGGGCAAATGGGTTCGTGGCTGTTCAACCCTGGAACCTATGCTAAATCACCAAGGAAGACCGGATGTCGCAGCTTTCAAGGATAAGGTTCACGGAAAGAGTAGGTTCACACAGAGAGGGCTTGACTTGTCAGCGGTGGAGCCCCAACCTTCAAAACAGCCGTGCCAATCCGAAACCTGGTCGTCTTTGCCCTGAACCTGAAACGGCTGGATTTGTTGCTCGGCTTAGCCCCGGCGCCGCAGCAAGATTTGTGAGGACCTCGTTGCACGTTATGAGGTTCTGGCGAAGCTTTGTTCATTTACTGTCGCCAGAATATGTGGTGCTATGCCTTGAGAGCGCTTGCTTGCCGGACAGTCGTTTTTGGTCTGCATATCCGCGGAAGCAACCACAGAGTCGGTGGCTGCCCACTGCGGTTGATGTTGACTTTGATGTTTGTGGGATCCTCCAGTCCCTTTCGAGCAGCTTGTTGCGCTCTCAACTTCTCCAATGCCTGTCGAGTTTTTGAAACCTCCTTCGCAATGTTTCGAACGCTTTTCCCTCGCGCAACTGCTAACCCCTTTCTTGCTCCTCGCTCCTATTTCGTCTAATCCTCTTGAAAAGCAGAACTAGTCTATGTGCATATACATATATATATATATACACATATGTGTGTGTGGGTATGTCTGTGTATGTATGTATGTACTGATGTATGTATGTATGTATGTATGTATGTATGTATTTATGTATGTATGTACGTACGTATGTATGTATGTATGTATGTATGTACGTATGTATGTATGTATGTGTGTATGTATGTATGTACGTGTGTGCATGTGTGTATGTGTATGTGTATATGTATGTATGTATGTATGCATGCATGCATGCATGCATGCATGTGCGTGTGTGCATGTGTGTATGTGTATGTATGTATGTATGCACGTATGTATTAGGTTGTATGTATGCACGCATGTATTAGGTATGTATGTATGTGCCTATGTAAATATGTATATATGCAGGTAGGTACTTATGTATGTGAGTATGTCTACATGTATGTATGTATGCATGCATGGACGTATGTATGTGTGCATGTGTGTATGTGTATGTGTAGGTGTATGTGTATGTGTATGTGTATGTGTATGTGTATGTGTGTTTGTACGTATGTATGTATGTATGTATGTATGTAGGTAGGTAGGTAGGTAGGTAGGCAGGCAGGTAGGTAGGTAGGTAGATAGGCAGGCAGGCAGGTAGGTAGGTAGGTAGGTATGTACGTACCATGCCAGATAGGTGAACATACGAGTACGCATCCACAGCGATGCCCCCCCCTCTTCGGGCTGCCAGCAGCGCAGGACTCTCTCTGCGGCGGAGGAAGAAGTATGTGGGTATGTAGGTACGTAAAATTGTGTATTCTTTGTCCACTTACTTACTTACTTATACCAGTTCCTGTCCATGTATTCACGTAATCATTTACGTTCCACGCACACACACACACACTAATTATCAAACCTACCCTGATTTATACCATGTGTACCTTCGAGGTGCCAACCTGGAAGACAGAGGTCAGCTGGCTAAGGATGTCACGGTCGCGCTCCTGGAAAGCGCCATGGGCGAGATGCTCAAGAGCACCAAGACTGGGGTTTCCATGGGATTCGACCAAACTAAATCCATGTAGCGCCCACGTGGGCCTGATGCAACCCCAATCCAGAACCCTAATGTGTCCCTGCACAGGCCTCTCTCTTCCCGCTTTCGATGAAGAGCGTCTGCTCCTGCCAAGGTCTCCACAGATGGTCACTGGTGGCGGGAGACAGGTGTCGATGTGAACATGTACACTCATTATCTGCAGTGGGACAACGCGGCTTTAGCAACGGCGTAGCAGTGTACCAGTGCATGATTTGTCGACAGACTGTCGATGCCACAGCACTCTCTTAGTCTTCAATTTGCAGTTCTGGTCGATCACCGCATTCGAGAGAATGGGCGAGCGTGCATCTGCGTGGCAGGCCTCCGACTGCACGCGGAGTTCCAAGGCGCTGATGTCGCTGGCCCTCTTTTGCCTTTCGTCACCTGAGAAGAGGACTTGGCCTTCTTGGCACCATGTGCAGGACATGCGAGAGGTTCTATCAACAAACAGTCCTCCATTTTCGATGTCACACAACACCCTGAAGGGATGTGAGGTCCATGGAATCCGAGCGCAAACCTTGTCCATCCGAGTCGCCCAAGAGCTCACGTACCTGCTGCATGCATTTGTCATCACCGTCCTGAAGCATGGAATAGGTGATGGAAGGGCTCGAGTGCTGCTGAACTCAAAGCTAGTGTCCGTCGGTATTGACTTGAGCGAGAACCGTACTGGACGGGCAGGGGCCGCTTATGCCGCTATGCACCGTCATCCAATTGAAGTCTGAGATTGGAAACATGCTGACTCCTCGCAATGTTACAGATCTCGACGAGCACCGGAGCCCCATTTTCAAGGAAGGGCTGTACAGCTTTTTTTGGCTGACACCTGCTAACATGCTAACATCTACTAGTTACTAGAGATTGGCCGAGCAGGACCAGGATCCCGCATGGTCCGAAAGGGTGTGGCGGGGCCTCTCGGGCCAGGCGCTCTGCCTGAATCGCGGCACGTAGCTCTTCTGCAGAGGTGCCGGGCAAGGCGCCGGTCCTTCCCGGAAGTTCAGGAGTGCAACGTGAACTTGATGTGCTATATATACTGCTGCATAAGACTGGTGGCCGAGCATGTGCAAGGCGACGGTAGGCAAAATGGAACGGTGATGAAGGACTCTTCCCGAGGAGACAGAGAGACGGTGGGGAAACCATGTGGCTTCCCTGTGGCCTCCGCTCTGGGACAAACGCAGCAGTGATTCGCTGAATTCAACCCCGAAGCTTGAAGACTGAGACGAAGCACGAAGCCGACTGACAAGTCTAGTCCGAGCGGCGTGGTCCCGGTTGCAGGCAGAGAAGACATTCCCCTCACCTGAGACGACGTGCATCCACTCATCCACTCATCACGGGATGTTTTCAAAATATCTCGAGTCGAAGAATCGCCACCGCCTGTGGCAGGACTAAGTGTGTTTTCCTGGAAGTTACGCTACCAACAGCATGCAGATCACCCGTGATCCAGGTGAACATGCGGTGGACTTTGATAGTTGAACCTGGTGCCGCTTTTTGGCGCCGCTTCCAATAGAAGAACTCACCCTCCCCGAAGTCTCCTGTGCTTCAGACGGTGCCTGCTCCCGTATCCGGTCCAAGCTGGACCGGACGCCTTGCACGTCCTCCTTTCGGGACGAGGACCTGGGACCAGGAGCCAGGAGGCAGGGGCTCTGCTTATCCAAGAGAGTGCGAAGACGGCAGTAGGCTGTCCTCCTTGTGTCTTGACATCAAATCGAAAATGCAAAAGTCCAAGGAGCTCCATGCGCAGCTCGTTCCGGACTCTGTCGACGTCCGTCCAAAGCTCCTAAGTACATGCGCAACCGGGGCAGCTTTGTCCCAAGGTGGTTGTGGGGCCGTTTTCTTTCCCTCGCCAGCCTCCCGTAGCTTGGTCTGGCCATCGATCAAGCGCTGCACGTCCTGGTCGGCTCGCGCATCGGCGGGTGAAAAAGTAACACGGAAATCTTCAGAGACTTGACGGCTTTCAGCCCGTTCATGCTGCTCCACCAGAAGTCCATGAATGCCCAACCAGTGCCAAGCTTAGGACTAACTATGGAATCCGGCGGCTGAATGGGGCTCGCGTGGGGACTCGAGCCTGGCACGCTGAGGTAGCCTGCGTCTTCAAGTTTTCCGAATCTTTGTCGAAGCTCAACTGGAGGCATGGGGCCAGTTCAAAATGTGTACTGCTAAGTAGTCCTGAAGCTCAGCCTGCATGGACATCGCCTTCGCACCCTCCTGCTCCTTGGGTCAGAGTAACATGGTCAACACACGTGCTTTCCGATCCCACTGCCATTGTGACCGAATCTGCCTCTACAGGCCATCACACTCTTGTCATGTATCCGGCGACCTGGCGTTCGACCCACGCACAAGGCCACAATGGTCGAATCCAAGCTGAGGTGGTCTGCAGAACCGGCCCAAAGCTTCCACCAATCCTGAACATCTCGTGGCTCAAAGCCCCTAGTTGCAGGGCCGGGGGCATCAGCAGGCGGTGGCCGGCTAAGTCGTGAGATAGCCTGCGCAATTCCCATCACCGCTACAGGGAACCATGGCACTCAACCTAGAACGCACTGATTCCGGAAGCTTTCAAGCCAAACTTGCAAGCTGTAGGTAATGCACAGGAAGTTACCCTAATAACTCGGGTTGTGCATATGATACAATCAGGACTCGGCGCAAGTCACCAGGCAGTGGGGTGTCTCCCTCCGAATCATGTGCGATCGTCGGCTTCCGCATGCCTACAGGGGCATGACCGTCAAGAAAGGCCCTGTTCTCCAAACCCGAACCCTTGGCCATCTCGGTGCAGAGGCCTGGTCCAGGCCTTCTCGGCTGCTGCGCGAAACCTCTTGAAGCTCCTGAAGGACTTCAAAAAAGGGGTCAACTGAAGCCTCTTGGATCAGGGCCGAGAGTGCGAGGGTCACAACGGATACTTCTTGCCGGTGCCTCGAGCCTTGAATTGCCTGGGAGGATGCTGATGACTTCATCGTGCTGCCTTCTGCAACCTTGTTGATTACTCTACTGCTGATTATGGTGGGGCATAGTTGGGGCATCACTAACTTCAAGTATCCAGCCTATCTCAAACTCGACACTGACAGCAGAGTGCCTAGAGTGTCTGCGTGTTCGAAGTCCTAGTTACTTAACCCGACAGGCATGCTGTGAGCTTGGAAGGTGCTTCCGACAGCTCTGTCACGTCGAAAAGGACCAAACTGATGTTCCGACAATTCTGACTCCACCCAGAGCTTATGTCCTCGCGCAGCTCCAGCAGATCCTGGCGGTTGGTCATGAGCTCCTGCAGGTTGCAAGGTTGGAACAATAGCAAAGACAAACAACCTTGATGCTTGCGTGTGCTGCGCGGGCAGCAACCGAAACGTGACGATAGTGACGGTGGGCGGGTAAAGACAAACAATTCTCTGATTCTTGTGACAGCAGACTGAGACTCTTAGTCTGGCAGACTGACCGCCGAAATCCATCGCAGTGTCTCAGGTCCTTGGAGCTTCTTTCCACGAAGGTTGCCACGCTGGCTTCCTTGCTAGCTCACCAGTAGCTGAGTCTTATTGGAACGTTCCCCAACAGCATGTTAAACCGATGCGGGTTCTTGCTTTCGGACTTCGACGATTTGGTTACTCAGGACGCGAGATGTTCGCGGCGCTGGTGCGTGTTCTGGGTTAGCTACACTGCTCCCGCCACAGTCTGGTGCGCTTGGGAGCTTCAGGGGTGCTCTTGGAATGACGGCATGCTATACGCGAGTGAATTAATGAATGGACGAACGAATGATTGAATGAATGTATACATTTATGTTTTTAGGTAGGTAGGTAGGTAGGTAGGTAGGTAGGTAGGTAGGTAGGTAGGTAGGTAGGTAGGTAGGTAGGTAGGTAGGTCGGTAATTCGGTAGGTCGGTAATTCGGGTAGGTTGGTAGGTCGGTAGGTTGGTAGGTCGGTAGGTCAATCGGTCTCGGTAGGTCGGTCGGTCTCGCTAGGTCGGTAGGTTGGTAGGTCGGTAGGTTGGTAGGTCGGTCGGTCGGTCGGTAGGTAGGAGGACGGAGGGAGGCAGGCAGGCAGGCATGTTACATACCTACATACCTATTTACATACCTACTTGCATACCTACCTACATACACACATACCTGCCTACACACAAATGTTATATACCGAGATGCACACATATAGACACATGCATCCATCCATACATTCGATGTACATACATACGTAACTAAATATTCAGCTTATGATCGTTGTGCTGATTCTTTCTACTATTTGTATTATAATTGATCTGCTTCTGGTCTCGAGTACAAGCTCCGTCTCCTCCTCGGCTTAATTTACACTTCCGCCTTCTCCGGCCAAAGTCTGAGACATTCTGTACTCAAGATCGGTGCACTGAGGACGATGCCAGACTCGCCTGCAGCTGCTTCTCCTCAGATCATTGCAGCTGCATGCTCAGTTGAAGCGACAGACTCAGACACGCTGTAGAATGCAGACTCGTATTGCCATGCAGGGCACAAGCTTTGCTGGTAAAGGGTGGCAGGAAGCATGCAACCCGAAAAAAAACAAGCCTGTGCGCCAACGGTCCAGTTCTCGACCCGAGAATTAATCGTGGAAGGCTGCTTGCCCACAGGAACTGGGAAAAGCGTGAAAGTTTGCACACCGGGACCCGAAAGGCTGCAAAATCTCTACGGCTAAGGCCAAAGTGCGATATCTTTGGTGGCAGTCTCGAGGTGCAGTTGCTGCTCTGCCATCAACTGCTGAACCTTCAGCCTCTCCTGCAAGTTCAGGACTTGAGTTCGTTGTTTCTAGAGATGCGCGTCACGTCTCTTGCTGCCGATGGCTGCAGTTAACGTCAGCCACGTTCTGGCTTTACATCCTGCTACCCTCCGTATGATTCTCGGAAAGTTTCGGTTTGTTGCTATCAGAAACCCCTCCTGACAGCATGTAGTCGCTGCTTGGCCGACGGATGGGCATACATTGCTGACTTCACGCCGATCACAGAGGCTGGACTCACAGCAACTGGCCTCAGGAATCTTCTCATCGAAAGACTTCCTTGTCTGCTTGCAGATTGGTACTCTCAGGCATGATGCAAATAGGGATCCTCTCCAAGTTCACCAAGAATTCGGGAAAGGCGGTCGTGTCAACTGAACTCTCCCTATATCCGTGCTGTGGTTCTTGACGTGCGTCAATTTAAACAGATCATGATGAGGATCGAGGAATTAAAACCTCTCGCTTGTCGCTTCAGCAAGACCCCTGAGCCCCTAACAATCTTCATGAAAATGTAGAACAAATCGCCGAGTGTCAGCAGAAGCATATAGGTCTCCTCCCTCTCACGAGTCGCCTCGCACTTACTGCAACGGTCCCGAGCCCATCAGCAACAGCCAGAGTCTAGAGGAATTCAGGATTACCATGCTCGCCCAGCGAACGGTCCACAACTCCTTGATCAGAATCAGACCAAGACAAGCACCGAACCCTGCAAAAGTGCATGAGAACCAACACCGTGTGCGACTCTGCGGAAGTGGGGGATTGCAGCAGGGACAGGTACCCATACGGCCTTGTAACTTGCACCGGCTTCTCCCTATCCCACATGCGAAGACCTATTCGTGCAATCTCGTACGTCTGCCACGTGTCATCACAAGCGCCAAAAAGCCGAAGCCCTCTCGCCTGCATCTCAGCGTCCTGGCTCCGATGGTGGGCCTCGGAAGCCTCTTGGATAGCCTTGGCCTGTGCACATTGAACGAGGATTTCGGGATTCGGCATCTCTTGTAAGCTAATAGATTCACGTCCCACCATGTGAACCTCACCCCGTCCCCACTATCTGCTGCACCGTGCGGGGGGAGGGGAACAAGTAGCGGTCATTGACTGTCGGGTCCCGGGTGCTACTACGAAGCAGGGTAATCTTTGGTTTGCAGCATTGAAACTACAGAAAGGTTGCCAGCACTTCTTGGTACTACCAGTGCCGTTCGCGATTACCAATAGCTAAAAGAATTCTGAGCCTTGCTACCTAAAATGAAGCTGCAAAGCCCAAAATTATCTAGGCATGTCCTGGACTCAAGCCCAGACCCTCCCGTCTCGCAACGATCCCACCCCCAGCAAGCCCCAGGGCGGGCCTCCCAAAGTACATTCACCCAAGTGGACAGTGTTCCCAATGGCGAATCCAGCCATACTACACTACCCACCTGCGCACGTTATGCATGATGCAGAAAATTACAGCTTTTATTTTTCAGCTCTCAGAGCAGTCCATGCCTCAGCGGTGGCAGTGTCCAACTTGGCCTGAAGCCGCTGCTCAACCTGGCACAAGACCGGCCACCCAACTGGGCCTAGCCGGCAGGGATGGTCCCAAGCAACTGGCTCCGAACAAGAAGGCTAAGCATTTCTCCAAACCAGGAAGCTACTCTCGAAGATAATCGACGTCCGAAGGTAGGCACATGCATAGCGAGACGGGTCTACAACGGCTCTCCATGTTGCAGAAGGAATGCGGAGTGGCCGAGTAGGCACAAGCCCACATCACTGGTACGAACGGACCAAGGTGACCAGCGTGCCTACTCTTGCTAAGTCCATTTCCTTGAGTTCGCCCGGCACTCATTTTCCTCGCCTGCTGGAATCTACAGTGGTAGCTTGAACAGACACTCGCATCTCACCGGACTGGTTCGGTGATGTTTGCGCCTGCTGCAGTGCTTCATCTTGGCGCTGCCGGCCGCCCGCTACCAACCTCGGCAGTTACAGGGCGTGCACCATCAACCAGCATCGACTAGTGTGATGCACGACGATGCGAGGGAGGCTCGCTTGCATGCTCATCAGCCGAACTGTGCTACATCGAACTCCCAGTGTGCAACTGCAGATTTGCAGAGCTGGAAGCTTCGAGTGTTGAGCGATATTGCAAGCCTACAAAACTCTGAGAGAATGACTGCCAGACCGCAATCCGCGCAAGAACATCGTTCGAAGCCGAGGCACTCGTGAAAGGTCGATAACAGCTTTGTCGCTTCCTGCTGTCAGCTGCAATCGTCGCAAGAAAATGTTGGAAATTTTCGGTGACGGGCCGAGATCATGCATCGTTCTACGAAGGTTACAACACAGGTTCAGCCGAGAGCAACAATGGCAGCCTCTGTCCGCATGCTCTGGCCTTAATGCGGTTCGACACAATGACTCAATATTCTCCCAGGCATTTCCACGTTTTCAGGCATCTACTCACTGCATGCTACAAGTTTCATTGGCGAATGTGCAACAGCCAAGCTCACCCCTTAGTCACTAGCCGTTACCAACCGCAAGTCGGGGTAAACAAACTCCGGACCGCTCCTCGTGGCGGCTGGTGGCCTCTGCTTCCAAGGCCTTCCGGCACAGTCAAGGGCGGATTGCTTGTCTCTCTGACGGATACCAGATACCTTGGCATGCCATGGCGATTCCTGACTTTGCCTCTCCTTTCCCGTGTGCCTGGGGTGTCCACTCTCGCGGGGCTCTAGCAGAACTTCCCGACACGTACCCATGCTGTGCGCACACTGCCTTCTCAAGATGCTCCACACGGCTGGCCAGGGCTTGCCTTGGAGCTTCCGCTGAGGAAAGCCGCACTTTGCTTCGGCAACTGAACTGAAGGGCAAACCACTTGTTAAATGATCATGGGACTCAGTAAGTAGGGTTATAACTAAGGTAACCATGCTTATAACCCCAATTAGGGGACTTATAACCTTACTTACTAAGTCCCCTGATCCTCCAGATCCTCCAAGTTCTCTCCCAGGCGCAGTTCCCCCGCAGGTACGGATGGTGCTCCGGGGCCAGGGTCAGACGACCTCCAGGAACCCCCAACGCAGCTGTGACTTGGTACTTTTCCTTTCAAGAGTCCCGAAAGACATGCTGGCAAGTGAGTCGGACAATCGGAAGCCACTGAAAGATACGACTAGGAGCTGCGTGAATTTGGGATGCATGGAACTGTCGCAACCTTGTCCATAGGTAGGGAAAACCGAATCGCGGATTTTCTCGATATACACCGCGAGCAGGGTTTTCTTTTACTTCCCTGCGTCTTGAGCTCGTGCTGGCTTGCTCAAATTCCCGAAGCTTGTCAGCAGCGCCACACGGGCAGCAAACCTGTGGTGAAAGCTGCTGCCAACTGCCAGGCCAGGCCTTTCATTCAGCTGCCGACGGACCTGGACGTCGGCTTTAATACAATGCTGCGACGGTACAAACTATTGTGAACTCAGCATGCGGGATGACCATCAATGGAACACAGTCACTTGGAGATACTTGGAGAGCCACAGCCTGAATGGGGAATGAACAAGACCGTCTACCACAAAAAGCACCACCCCAACACTCAAACCGACTTCAAGCTTCTAAAACTCGATGCCTCAGCACGGACAAGACCCTCGGTGATGGACGACGATGCTGTTGGAGATGTGACCTTGACGGCGCGAAGCACTTGCACAGCAGGCTTAAGCCAGCGATGTGCAAAGATGTGCAAAGATCCGACTGTCAGGCAGGCAAGTAGGTGATGCTGGAAGACCTACTTTGCCCCACGGCAGCCCTTGCACCGTTCCACAAGCGCCCAGACTCTCACGGAGGTAGATAATGAAAAACGTATGCTGTGCAAGCACTGACTTTGAGCTGTGGTTGCAGCATCACATGTGTAGTCCTGAAACAAGAACACCCCCAACAGCCACGCATGTCTGAATGCAAGTTGTGTGTGTGTAGGTATGAATGTATGTCTGTCTGTCTGCCTGTCTGTATATGTATATTGTATATATTTTGTTTAATCTATTTGCTGATTTATCTAGGTATTATCTATTCATTGGTTTCTTTACATATATAGATACATGTATTTAGTATGTAAATAGATAGATAGATAGATAGATAGACAGATAGACAGATAGACAGATAAATAGATAGACAGATAGATAGATAGATAGATAGAACGAACATGCGAAAGTAACACGGGTAGACGATATATGTGAAAGCAACATGGCGAGCACGTGTGGCTGCTGGGTCCATGCCACATGTATTCTCGTATGACCTTGCAGCAAGTGCGTGAGCATGCAGTTGTGTGTGTGTGTGTGTGCATGTGTGCGAGGGTGCTAATGAGTTCTGGTGGTCGCTTTGTAGACTTGTTGTTGGTGCATGCCGGCATGTGCATAGGTTCTTATGTGCATGCATGTGTCTCCGTGCGTGTCTCTGTGTGAGACTGTGTGTAAAATTTCTCTCTCGTGCTCCCCGTGCATGCGTGTGTCTCTCCCCTCCATCTGCGCGCCTGTGTGTCTGCCTGCCTATCTGTCACCGTGTCTGTCTCTATGCAGCAGGTAAGAGGACGGGCCCTGCTAACTCGCTTCTTTTGCATTCCGCTTGCCAGGTTTGCGGCTTAGCATGGTTACCAAAGCACTGTATTGTTGGTATGCAGACTGGCGCCCAACCTGTATCAGCACAACGGGCAGACCAAGCAAGCATCGCTTGGCGAAGCATGGAACCTCTGAAGTTTCCGGGCCTGTCTGATCTCGAAAGAAGGGTTGGATAGTGTCACATGTGCGCGGACCCAACCAGAGTTCTTATCGGCGGCCTCGCCGCGAGCTTGGACCCGAAGTTGGTCGACCAGCCTGATGCTGGCAGAAGGGATTCTCGAGCTGTTTGGTGGCTGTCAGGTCAGCCTGGATAGATCGGCGGTGGCATTGCTGATTTCAAGCTTTTGCATGTCCAGCTCCTGCCGGATGTTGTCTCCTTGCAGGCTTAGGCAGCCATGGCTACTGGATCTTGCACAAACGCTTAAGGACAAAAACCTTGAGCGTCGAAGCCAAGTGTCGAAAGTGGCCGAACTCGCTGAGGACTTGCTGCGTCTGGGTTGCAGCGGCGCCTAATACTCAGCGCTCGGGCAGTGCAGCCATCGGCCACTATCAGCCACGATCAAGTGAACGGTGGTAGAACAAACAGTGTTCATACCGCGGCCAGGCCGAGCCTACTTCGAGCCGCACTTCTCGCTGCATCGCTCCCAGTCGCGCCTGCTGGAGGGGTGGACGGCGGTCATGCATCGTTTCTTCTTCTCTGAGAGCTCGGGCACCACAGCTAGTCCTACATCAGTCATGTTCTTTTTGCCTCAAGACAAGTCAACCCAGTTTTCGGCGGGCTTGGAGCCTTATGTGGCTGAGCTCGAGGCGTAGGCTGTCGCAGCATTGTAATGCAGTCCCCGGATTACATGTAGTTTTTCCTTTTTTCCGTAAGATTCAGTCTCTCTCTCTCTCTCGGCGTCTTCTGCTGCAGAGTTTTAAGAGCAAGCACCCTGAATGTGGTGGCAACGGCCTGGGGGTCAAGATTCGGCACTCACACTCGGACCCTCCAGGCGAAGCACGTGTCCTCTGGTCATTTGAGTCGAAAGAAGCTGGACCATTAAGCAAATGACCACAATGACCAACCATACAAACCTTCAGCCAGCTCATTCAGAGTTCCAGGTGTTCCGTTCTCGGTTTCAAGGCACGAGGTAACAACCTGCTGGCTTCTTGTACGCCACTGCATACACAATTTCCAGATGCACTACACTCCAGTGGCAAGGACTTTTACGCCGTGCTCATCATTGGTCGACACAGTTGTGGTGGCACAGGGCATCTCCATGCTGGTCAAACATCTGGAGTAATCTAGCGATTGTCTGGGAACCATCTCTGGATGATTACAGTGCGATTCGGACAGTTCTCCTCACCGGGACACAGCAACGGACACTGCCGAATGGCCTCGAGATGGCTTTCGACAGCACGACGCAAAGCCTGCGCAGATTTATGGGCAGGTTGAGGGTTTATGCAAGCCAGCAAGCCAGAACGGCCAGCATTATCAACAGCAGCGATTTACCAGGATCGGATTAATTATGTCAGATTGCATTACGGAGTTGCTCAGCAGCCCAAGCCTGCAACGGTAGGCAAGTCTACCTAAGCAGCCCTATGCAAGCCACGACACGGATTCTTCCTTGATGGTAGTATGCCATCGCTGCTCCAATCCTCTGTGCCGAGGACTCTCATGATGCAAAAAGCAAGGAGAAGACGCGTGTGTCCCTGTCATGAGCTCTGTCTTCACTACTGGAAATAGGGGTTTCCTAAAATAGGGGACCCCAATATAGTACCCTAAATTGTAGGATCCTTATTACAAGGACCCCAGAATAAGGTACTAGTACCCATTATCTTCGGAAAATCGAAGCCGCACTTCGACAAGGCTCGGCTCTCGGACTGCTCCCGGAGGGATTGCGAGGTGCGGATGGCCTGGGCAAAAAGGGTCACTAAAACCTCTGGGCTTGATATATATATATATATATATATTTATTTATTTATTTATTTATTTGTTTGTTTATTTATTTATTTATGTATTTATTTATTTATACATACATATATATATATAGTTGTAGAAGCTCGGCCCAAGGCCTCGTCTCGTCTCTTCCTTTCCTCCTCCACACCGAGATCGAGTCGAATCTTCCGCTCACTTCCTTTGGCCAAAAAACGGGGGGGGCCTGTAGCAAGGAGTCCATGCTGGCGATCATCTGCTTGCGACTTTGGGCTTCCATCCTGGCATGTACTTGCACTTGCCGCCGCAGTCAGGTGGCTTTCTGCAACTACGGATTGCGTAGAAACTTCACACTTGTCCACTCACAGCTCTCCGCTACATGCACGTCATTCATTTTGAGTCGGACCCTGTCCTGATTTCATGTCGGATTGAGCGCATCTCCTGAAGACTGCAGCTTTTGCGAGAAGCCTTGCAGCCTCCGAGTTTGGACCTGGACCCATGTCCCTGCGTGCTCCGAATCCATTCTCCACCGAGCCATTGGCCCTCGATGCTCTCGTCTCATTCGCTTCGAGTCTGCCGGTCTGATTCCGACACCAACACCGAGCCCAAAGGCAAAGTAAGTATGCTCCTGAAGCAGATCCGGCGGCTGTAGACTGCCAGCACCGCATGCGCCGCCAACAGGCAAGGTAGGGCCGGTCCTTGGCTCTGGTAGATGAGCTCGCGAAAAGATGCGTTTTGGTCACAAATTCGGCAACTTTGCCGTCCGTCTGCTCATGAGCAACTGCAGGCTTTCCGCACCATGGTGAAGCAATGTTAGACGAACGCAAGTACTAACGCATATAGGCTGGTACCTCGGCTATCGGGAAGTCTGCGTCCAAACCCGTAAGAGAAAAGTAATCTCTCACAAGACAATGCTGGCCATGCAGCATGGAGCTTTTTGGGTATGCGGCCATATCCTTCATCAAGGACTTCTTCAGCGTCTCAATAACCTGGAAAGAGCATTCGCTAACGCAAGCTACGTTTCGAGGCTTCGAGCCTGGACGTGGCGAGCCAGACAGTTCAAAATGGATAGGAGAGCTCGTTGCAATCCTCGCTACCTCACTCCTCACCTTCAGTGCTTTAATTGCTGTACTTCCGGTAGCCAGATTCTGTCCAAGCGGCCAAGGTGCTGGCTAGCGAGCTGGAATCGCTACCTGTGCCTGAGGGGACCAGATGTGTGGCTTGGGCCGGGCCGTAGGCCGGGCTGTACGCTTTACCTGTTGAAGCCTCTGTCATCACTCGCAAGTACAACGCATTTTGACTCCTGCAACTCGCACAAGGCGGGTGAGGCTGCACAACTTGATCCAGATGACGAAACACGTTACCGGAACCCCCTTTTGAACCCTCGCCCGTGAACATGCTTTCGAGCATCAGCGACTCTGAGTTCTTTGGCCGGGTGGCCCTGGCTGGTGCTGATCATCGCTTGGCTGGAAACTGCCGCTCCTCAGTGAGAGGTCTCAGTGTTCAATTGTATTTGCAACCTCACTTCCTGTTCGCAAGCAGCGAGTGTTCCGGCATTGGCATGGCACCGGTGACATACAAAAGGCCGCTGTCAGGTTGCAAACGCGACGGCCCATTCAACGCAGCTTGTCACAGTAATTGCATGAGCGACATGAGTCTCCAAACAGCCTGAGTGCTTCCACACCAGAACCAAAGTCTTGCAGGACAATCTGGCCAAATTAAAAGAACAACAGGCATGCAGGTGCACATTGTCTCAAAACACTCACCCGTTTTTTTTGTAAACCGATGCTATATATATATATATATATATATATATGTATATATGCATGCATGTATGTGTATCTATATCCGCCGACCCCGCTGGGGCGG